GGTGATGTACAGAGTAAGAACAGAGGAAGGTACAGTAAAACAAGAATAATTTCCTCGTATTTTATTTCCTGATTTCATACCCCTTCTTATAATCCCAATACTGCAACTCTGCTGCAGTACCTTTTCCAAATAAGCAGAACAGTATCAGCACTCAAAGTCAGGAATATTCAATTTCCAAACAGTGCAGCTCCCCACGAGTTACATGAACAACTACCAAGTTGAATAGACACAGAGGAGTGATTTCAGCAGTATAAAGTGACACAACAATTACATGCATCCATGCCTCATTTATATTCGTAATACTTTACAATAAAGTGCTAACAGTAAATTAAATAAACTTTTTTTTTCTTCTTTTTTTTTTCTTTTTATGCTTTGGAACACCTTAGGAAGTTTCTGGTCAATTAAAGCTAAACCTCCTGGTGGGTTCTTAAGTCTTTCTAAGGACAGACAGTGGACACCATGAACATTCAAAGAAATGTCAAAGACTTTCATTTCGATTTCGACTCTTTCAGTATCTTGGATCATTATCATATTCTTTACACCACTGTTAAACCTCCTTTATTTACTTTTCTTAAGCTAGTGGGAGATGACTAAATAGTAACCTACTAATAATTAAGCACGATTCAAAATAATTAAGCAAGATCCTTCATCCACAAAAGAAATGCATTGAGATTTAACAACAAAAGGATGAAAAGCACAAGCAAGCAGGAAAAGAGTGGAGGAATTGATGAATACCAGCACATTTTGTTTCCCATAAAACATTCCAATGACAAATACACTCAAAATATTCTTCAACTTGGATTTTATCTGTCAAAATAGTTTGAAGGTCATTATCATTTACAGAATTAAATGATGCAAAAAAGTCTTTCAGTTTTAATGGGGAATGCCTAAATATTGCACAAACATTCTTTCAAATTTTATTTTTATCTTCTTTGCAAGTGTGACTTTGCAACTGAACAAACATATTCAGAAATCTAAACACAGAAAAGAGGAAAAAAGGAGCTTACTCGACTTGTAAGTAAAATTCAGCAGGCCAGCAGAAGAGCTTAATTATACTTATTTTACAGTAATAAAGTAATTAAAAACAAGACAATTTTCCACTGCAAAGAATTAGGGCAAGGGGGAGAATACTACAGTGTCTTATAAGGGCGAGGTGTTCGTCAGCATTTATACAACAAAACTGGCAATAAAATGAAAAAGACCTGCCTCCTTACCAATCTGCCAAGCCAGACCCTGACATTCTAGCAAGCATATATACACAGTTTATACAGGATCTAGAACAGACTTGTAGAAAAGAAATCCATCACAACAGAAATGGCCTAGCAAAGCCTTTGTTAGTACAAAACTTAGAGGTAATAGACGTGAGGTTATACTTCAAGTTCAATGTTACCTTCAAATACATTACAGAAGCCATACTATGGATGAGAAAAAATTATGTAATACTAGAAAGCAAGCACACTGCAGTCTGCAAGCAGTGAAGCCGACCACTGACACATGTATCTTCTACACAGAGCTAACTTGAGTTAAACATACAAGATAGTTCTAGTCAAATACAAAGCAGCCACAGCACTGAAGTACTTCTACTTTGTTTACACTGCTACTACATTCACACACAGGTATCATTAATGGTTGTGTGAACGTTATGTAATTCTCTCTTAACCGAATGCATTTTTTTTTCAAAGGTATTTCCAAAACCATGCACACCAGGGAGAAAAAAAAAAAAAAAAAAAGGAAATAAAGGCCTGTACTTTGGAGGACTGCAGAAAGTCACTAGTGAAGTACCACCCACCCTCAAGCAGAGCTGGAATGTATATATGCTCCAGCATAGTGGCACTTGTCATTTCTGCCTTTTTGCAACACAACCCATCTTGGATAGAGCGTTGTGTGAAGGATCACCAAGGCTTTGACAAAGGCATCAGGACAATCCAGGAAGTGAATAAATAAATTCTGAAACTTATATTCTGACATACCCTCCCCCCTCCTCCCCCCCTCCAAACATTCATATCTACTTCCCAGAGGCACCATGTGCATGTAACCCAACCACATCCAGTCTACGCAAACATATACACAACACTTGTTTCATTATACTTATAATTCACATTCTGGCTTACGCTTTATAATATTTTAAAGATAAAATTTTCTAGTTAAAGGAAACAATCTTTATGGATATTACTGCTTTCTAGTTCTGAAATAAATGTTTCAGGATTATACATGCTATAGTCTTTGCAACAAATTATACACAAAGATTAAAAAGTCCTGGATACTCTGAAGCAGACAGCTTGAAAAACAACAGCTAACTACCCAGTTCTAGATATCTAGCCAGCAAATACAAACACATAGAGCCATGTAGAAAATTTCTTATCTTCTAAAATATTTCACACTTCACAACTATCAAGACAAAAACACCACAAGGATATGATGATATGTTTCTTAATCTAGTTGGGAAATTCACCTGCCTATTTTGCAGCTAAAGGTTTCAGAAAGAGCCACGAGATACACACACTTGACACACTTTTGTTTAATTAAAAGGAAAAGACATGTAAGAAGTTATTTTCAGCCTAAAGTAAAACACCTCCAGGTTACCGGTGCTTATGGTCTTTTTGTGCTAGCATAACACCTGCAGTTCTAAAGAACTAACAGTATACTAGAATTTCCCTAAAGTCAGAAGCTACAGCTACAGGCATACATTGCAGGTACCTGAGATTAGAACTATCTCCAAGGTACTTGACTGGTGGGAAATGACAACATCTCTACACCAAATCCAGTGCGCAATAAGACGACACAGCTGTATAGAACACAGCATAAAACTCAGGGACAGCTGAGTTTTAACAGTTCCTTCTTTCCTCCTGAACTAACAATTCAAAAAAACTCAGCATCTTCCAAATCAGTAATAACCTACCCCACAACATACTTTTCAAGCACGAGAACCATATTTGAACTGTTCACATGTTGCATTTAGCTTAACAGAAACATCCTGATGCCTTAAGTGATTAAAGACAGAATATCATAGTGATCTCAAACCCTGAAAATTTCAACTTCAGCATTGAGCTGTTGAGTATCACTAGCAGACAAACAGAGGAACACTGAATGCCATGGTAAGAAGTTACCACTGTTCATCACTGATGAATGAAGCCTAGGGAGAGCTTCGGAACCACACTGACCCCTAGCTAAATCCTACCTGGCAAATTTTTGATGGTTTCAAATCACTCGTAAGAAATCTAAAATAAACTAGTAAAGTCAAGCTTCAGCTTCTGATGTGCAAGATCAAACCCAGAGAAGCCGAATAAATATTCAAAAGCAGAACAGTCTGATACAGACCTGTAAAATCAAAATACCCTAGTGTACATACTCAATAACAAAAGACATTTTAAAGCCAATTGAAGCTCTACTGCAACCGTCACCAGCAGAATTCCAGCCTAAGATTTCACAGAATTTGACAATACTGCCAAATTGTTTGAAGCTAACATATCAATCCCCAGTAGGTGCCTAACTGAGAAGAATCATGCATGACCTATCATTTCAAACTACCACCATTTATATAGGAAAATACAAGACTTTCTGAAGTATTACCTGTTACAAACCTTCTGAGCAGCATGCTCTAAAGACATATCAAACTGACCATTAACAGAAGTTTCACGCAAGAAATCGTTCAAACACTAACAAGGAACATTCTGCGTCAGAAGACTATTGCCAGTAATAGGTCAGCCGGATCTATTACCACAAATCAGAGTATGCTTTGTTATTTCAGTAACACCTTATATTTACACAAGAGGAAGATTAGCTCACCTCCTTCATAAGAAAGACACTTTTCTTTTTCCAAATAGAACTTAAAATCATGTCACAGTATTAAGGATTAAATCTTTTGCATAAGTATCTTCTATATAAGCATGCACTCAGGGAAATTTGGTGCAGGCCTAATTCAAAGTCCACAGGAATGAAGTTCAAGAGTCACTTACTTCAGTGTTGTCTTACGGAAAAATGAACAACCCCTCCCCAGGTCCTGAGCCTCATTAAGGCTATTTCAACATAGGCCATACAAACTATGTGCGTACCTACGTATACTAAACTAATGCCTATGGAAGCCATAGAGCTGATCCTCCTTTCCACCTCAATTCACAAGTGTCAGCCATGGACAAGTAACTCAATAGAAAAGTTAACACTTGAGCTCATTTATAAGCTCTGGTTATATTGACTCAAATTACGCTCGAAGAACTTAATGCAAGCATAGTAGAGTGGTGTTTCATAATGCCAAGACAAGAGCTTGCCCTGATCCAAAATGTCCATAGGCATCACTCTTCCAGAACATGAAACATTTAAAACCAAGTTCCCACATTAGTGTTACCAGAATATTATCCAGTGAGGGAAAATCTGTACTGCGTGGGCTGAGTATCTGCAAAAGAGTCCTTATTACTAGCATGAATGCTATGCTCAGAGGCCAAGCAGGTATAGGCAAATTACTCTCTGGGCTCCTACTCCCCAGATCTCTATGTAACTGATGCAATTTTTAGCTGCAAGGGGCTACGACACAAATGTGCCACATGTTTAAAACAACTGCGAACGATGTAGAAAACACATCACCCCCGGGTAGAAACCCCCGAGCTACATGGGAGCCCTCTGAGAACGCCAGGGTGGCAGCCGAAGCCCATTTCCCCGGCCTCCATGAGGCGAGCTGAGCGGGCCGCACACGCAGACATTACCTCCGCTCACTACAAAGGGAGGGAGCACTGGCGCTAGCGACGAACGCTGTCGCTAGGGGGAGAAGCTGCATCCTCACGAGAAGGACGGTGCTACCTCCCCGCCGAGGACCGTGCCGAGAAGCGGGGGCACGGCACAGCCCCGCGGTGCCCGATGGAGGCGGGGAAGAAGGGCGAGCCGACGGCACCTGCCGGAACGCCGTGCCGGAGCTCTGTGTTGCAGCGCTCCCCTGCCCGAGCTGCAGGCCCGCCTTTTCCAAGGGAGGATTATTCAGGAGGGAGAGAGGCAACGCCGCGGCTACTCACATGGGCTCCAACGTTTTGCTGAGCCAGGATTTCAGCGCCTCGAAGTTTTCTATGATCATTTTAACCACCATCCAGAGCGGCCCGAGCCCCGCGCCTCCCCGGCAGCAACAGCAGCACCACCAACGACGGCGGCGAGCTCCGTGCCGCCCCGCCGGCCGGGACCCCGGCTCCCGCCGCGCCTCCCCCTGCCCCCCGAAGCCGCCTCCCGGTTCGGCAGAGGCCGCTCGACAGGGGCAGGAGGCCCAGCGCCACGAAGGGGGCGGAACCAACCGAGCGGCGGCTGCTCCCCGCGGGCCCCGCTCTCGCTTCTCCTTCGCCGGGAAACGCGGCCCGGCCGCCCCGCGGCTCCCCTCTTCCTGCTCCTCGGCAGCGGCCGGCGGGCACCGAACGCAGCCCCGAAACGCGCCGCCCCCCCTCGCCCCTCAGCCGCAGAGCGAGGCAGAACGAACGGGCGAGCGAACGAGCAGGTAAGATGGCGGCGTGCCGCTGTCGCGAGCATAAGGAGTCTCGCGAGAACAGGCGGCGCGCGGAGCCTGCCGGGAGGCGGAGCCAGGCGGGGTTGCATCGCGGCGGTTGGGGGTGTGATGGCGGCGGCGGGGCTGGCCGTTGTAGTTGGCTCTGCCCGGAGCGGGTGGAGGCGGTTCTTGGCAGGAAGGAGAGCCTCCTGGGAAGCGAAGGGGGTGCTGTTATAACGAAACGTGTGTCGGAGAAAAAGAAACGTGGGAGGGTGCTTCCCCCTCCCCTGTGATGTGAATATCATAAATGTCAACGTCTGGAAAGTTGCTTAAAAACACTACAAAAAAAAAAATACATTTTCCAGATCGATTCATCAAAGCCCGTATTCATAAACACTGTTAGTAAATGCAACCCTGCAGCAGGGAGAGAGGTATTTTTAGAGCTAGCAGAGCATACATCTGGGTAAAAACAGCAGCACAGGCACCATGTAAAGCGTACAGTCACCCTCACAGCATGGGATGATGCTGATCTTAGGGGTCAGATCCCAGGAAGCGCCCATATCGCTTCTGCTGGCCTTGGATCAGTGCATGCTGCCACAGCTCAGACCGAGCCAGGGGAGCTGAGGCTCTGCTCCATCTCCCTGTGGTGGCTGAGTCCCATAGGGAATGCCCGCGGTGATACTGAGTTGTCCTGTGAGATACCTGAAATAGCAGTAAGTACTGCTGCTTTTTTTCAGTACCCCTCATTTGCTGAGTGCTGAACAACATGGCTGATGCGATCTTATCTGCCTAGATTCAGTGGGCTTATGACAGACCAGCATCTAACCCCAGGTTGTGAGCTGTTTTGTGTGGTCATTAAGCAGAGGCAGATATTCCAAGGAAGTAGTGGACTGTCTGACTGAGGGCAGAGCAGATACAAGACTGTTGAGCTGCCGTCCTGTTTCTCATGGCTATAGGATTTGGATAATCAAACTGACATATTGATCTGTCAATATATCAGCATCCTGATGTCCTGCCTATGTTACATGGAATCGGGATAACAGCAGTAGTCTTGGAGTCCAGTGGTGAAGATAATAAGATATATTTGGATGCAGTAATATCAGGCTGTTGTCCTGTCTGGAGAACTTCTTCAAGATTCATCCCTATCTTCCCTCTGCTGATAGCAGCTCACCACAGACTGTTACTACCTACTTCCCCCTGAAAAAATATTTACCTCTCTTAATCTGTTACAGAACAAGGACTGTAGTATATTACAATCCTTATTTTTTTTCATGCTGCTGAGTAGAACTTGACCTCTGCAGAGAAAGTGTCAAGTATCCAACATAGCTAAATAAGCCAACACGTAAAACTATCAGTTTTTCAGGCACATCTGTGAGGTCTTTCCAGTTTCTCTGCATAGTGGAGAGTGAGCGGCAGATCCAGTCAGTAGACAAAAAGTCACCAACATGTGAAATTCTTTGGAGGCTGTTTTGTACACATAAAAAAGGCTTTGGCTTGCAATCACCAAGATGCAAGTTAATTCCCCTCGAACATATAAAAGGGTTATGAAGCTTGGATGTGATCTATCTTTGAAAGGACAGGCACATAGAAATCAGGCACTGTGATAAGAATCTGGCCCTTAACCTTTTACAAAAGGCAGTGTCTAGTAGAAACAATTCAGGAAAACACTGTGTCAGTCTCCTTCACTATTATCTTGGTAACTACCTTTGATCCTTAAATATACAAGCCAGCAAGAAAACATTGCCTCCAATTCTTCCCTTCATAAAATGTTTGGATATAATCGTGGTTGCGAATTTGCTGTGTCTGACACCTCATTTTCTATACTGCTATCAAGCTATTCAGAAGCACACAGTTATAAATGAAATTTGTGATCCACAAACGTATTTCACAAGTACGTTTTAGGCACTTTATCTGCATGTAACTTATGAACATTAAAATGCTGATAGAAGCATGCACTATCACCCCTCTGTGGCAATATTAACTATAAGAAATATATTTATAGCTGCCGACATTTCCTCTTTTAGCATTTGCGGACTAAACTTTAGGACTTACAAACCAACAGAACCAACATCTTCAGAAGTGGCCACAACGTTCTGTAGCACTTTTAAATCAATTTTCATTTAATTTCATGGCAGGAATTAGAAGAAACCGAAGCGAGAAAGTATTCATTAGATCTGAGAATAAAATTTCCTCTGGCATGTAAGGTGGGTTCTTTATGTAAGATGGCTTCTACTTAAGACACAACATCAGAAGAATCTTATAACTTAGAGGAGGTAGTCTTTGCTTAAACTGCAGTTGCACATGAAATCAGTGCTTTAATTTAAAAACATATTGAAAATCATATTTCATTTAATGCAACATAATAGAGAATCTGTGCAGAGGGTTAAAGTAATTATTAACTTCTCATGTTTATGTGAGACAAATAAACTACTATTTCTCCTGTACCTATTCAGTGTAAAGTTCATAAACTGCCCAAGAGGAAAAAAAAAAAAAAAAAAAGAAAATCATAAATGTCATTCCTACCTATGTAATGAAAGTTAGAAAGAAGATACCAAGGGAAAGAATGAATTTTTGAAAAGATTGAAAAGTAGCAAATGAATAATTTAAAATATTCTTCTTAGGTTTCAACAATTGTTGAAATTTAGAAAATCAGTTCCTTTTGCTGAATGATAGTGGTACACTGTATCCTGAATATGATCTGCAGAGACCAAACACTTCTTTGGAACTAAATCACAGCTATTGCAAAATATGAAAACAGATAAATACATGCTTTGTATTAATATAGAAAGTACATTTTAACATTGATGATCTTAAAGTATAAGTAAATTGTCATGGTGATAAAGAAATACAAATCTAATGCTCCTATTTATTCATGCATCAGAATTACTGATTCCTACTAGCACTTTCCGTTTATAAACACATTATTAAGTTCTTTAGAGTAGTACAAATGTTTTAATGTATTATAACTCCCAAGTTCATAAGTTTATTATGTGCCTAGTTTGCATTAGTTTCATCTCTTTCATTTTTTACATCTAAAAATAATATCATGAACATTTTCACCATTTAAGCCGCTTATGTTGGAGATGAATATTGCCAACCAACGCAGAGATTTTTATTTTTTTTCTTTTTTGTCCCCAGTTCTTAACCAACTGATCTCCAAAGCTGTGGGCACTTTGATTATACACTATCTTTGTCAATGTGTAAAGGCTGGATTTTTAAGAATTAAAGACCTTTTTTTGAAAGCTGACATTTTCTTGAATGTTCTTTAATCTCATTTTAACTTATATTTTTTCTTCAAAATTTTTTTAAAACAAAGAATAGTTAATAGTTGAGAACATCTGCCTTTTTGCCAGGCCTGTCTCACTTTTGCCAGACAGTGTCTTTATCATAAATAGAATATCAATTTGTGTTTTTGTTTGATTTCTTCTATGTCGGTTTATTTTTTTAAGCTGCCAGACTGACCTACAGCATTATTAAATTCTTCAATATACACAGGTCATGCTTCACTTTATTTTCTTTTTAATAGGAAAGTGAGGTAGCAATTGCTGTTGTGTGTAGTCATTCTTTTCTGAAGAAGAATATGTAATATTACGCGTGATTCTGGTTCGGCATGGTGATCCCAACAGTTTCAGACATTAAGCCCTTAGTATCTTTCAGAAATCCAAACAAATAAAAGCACTTAAGCTCTACAGGCCTTACAAGTATCTGAGCCGATGATGTGGAGATAGAGGGTTTTGTTTCCTTGCAGTGTGCCACAGCTTAGCCCCAAATCATTGGCTGAAATAGCAGGGTCAATGAAATTGAATGGCATCACGTTGGCTTTATGGAACAGAAATATTTTGTTGATCAGATTTTTAGTTTGTGCTTCCTATGAATTTGGACTTTTGCTGTTATTTGCTATTTCAAGATGTGTAGACACACGTTTGTAGATCTGCAGATGTATGCACTTGCTATGTTCTGTTCCTTTGCCTAATTTACAAGTAGTGAATCATTTTCATGCAACTGTAGTTTTAGAATCAGCAGCTGGCTTTTTTGTGTGATGCCACTATATAGGATTCCCAGAAGAACGTATTAGTGGATATTTCTAAGCATGTCTGTGATCCCATCCTTCTCCTGTATTCAAATGTGTAAGCTAGGGTCATTAGGGACAGAATGAAAATCTCTCTGTGAGTTATTATTTTTATTTTTCATTTTACAAACTACTGAGCAAGCAGGTCTTTTAAGTATTTGTAGCTCATGTAGCATTTATCCTGAGATTACAAGACACAGAGCTGAGCACTGCTTTTTTGAACTGACATTAACACTTGTTAAACAGGTTTTCTGGAAAGCCAACGTCAGAACAAGTATTGCAGTCAAAAGTCAAATCTACAAACTGAAAAAGAACATTTATCTTTATCACTGTTTAAATATAGAGAGAGAAATTACTAATGGTGGATATTTAACAGACCTCACACTTACCAAGTCATACTACAAACTAAGTCTATATAGCGTGTTTCTAAATGGCATTGTGTTTTAAAAAATGAAATGGGTCAGTTTTATATTTCAAGATGCTCATGTTGTGGAGCCTCATTAGTAGCCTCATTGTACTAATATGGGGACAGCTTGCTGTGGATTGCTCCATTATGCTAATGGCATCAAAGTGAAGCTTAGCCCCTACCTCTGCTATGGAAACAATGACTGAAAAAGGGCCCAGGCTGTAATTAAGACATTGTCTGCTTCCCAAAATGAGGTTGAGCAGGAAAGGAAAGACATAGTTCATAACTGCCCCTATGACACCAACAAGCAGAGCTTAATCTTCCAGAAGGCATCTTGATGTAGTCAGCAAGTACCAGCTGTGTCTCTATGGTCTCTGCATGAGCAAACAATTACAGGACAGAGCCACACCTGGATTTCTGCCTTCAAGTAGGGGTAAGTGGCTGCCCATATTCCTGAATTCGCTTTCAAGAACACACGCTAGATGAACCTGGTTGAGGCAGGATGCAGCTGTGATGCTGAGGACTGGACTGTACCGTTGTTGTCTCTGCATGTGCTCTGTGTGGAGTAACTCTGGAGAAGAGACACTGGCTTACTTACGTCCATCCCAAATGTCATTTCCAAATTCCTATTTTATGTGCTTACATACCAGCTAATGTTCTGACTCATTTCTGGCCATAAATGTACATTTTTGTGCCACATTTCACTGCACATGGACTGTCGACTTTTGTCTGTGCCAGATTTTGAGGTGATACTATCTAGTGTATTTCTATACACAAATTTAATAAACAAATAGAATGGATAGTGTCCTTTGAGTGTCAGATGTTAATCGTGCATAAACATGGGGGAAGCAAGAAAGATGTTGATTTTGCTCTTCCTACTAGTTGTTGTGCTCATTCCACCTTCCTGTTAAATTCAACAGAAGTGGAGGAGAATTATTCTCTCAAATAAGTGTTTGTGCAGGACACATCACATGGGAGTTAAGACATTCCTGAGGCATGGTATGCCTTCTGCCTCTTAACTCTGTGAGGTCATGGTTGACTTGTAGTAAATGAAATAATAATCATAAGTGGCAAAATGTACATTTTCCATTTATCTTGAAAACAGTAATTTATTTTTATTTATAAATAAATGCTGGTTTCACTTAAATCCTACTGCCAGCTGCTCAGACAGACCACATGACTGATCCAATAAAGGTGGCTTCACACCACAAATGGAAGAGCTGTGTTATTCAGCAGATTCAAAACACTGCAAAATAATTTTGAAGGCTACGCCGCTATTGGAGTGGAAGATAATTCAGAGTACTTATTTTTTCTTCATAGCAGAATTCTGCATGCAGAATCCAGTGTAGTGAAGTAGTGAAATCTTACTTGTGTGAGTTCTTCCTACAGAAATACATGAGTAAATCACCCCCTAGACGGTCTTAATCTTTTTTTCTTTTATTTTTTAATTCTTTGCTTTGGTGTTATTGGATTTAATGAGTAATCAATTAAGAATTAATCTACTTTTAGTATTAAAAGGGTTATTTAAATCTTATTTGTCAAGAAATTATTCAATAAACTCTATTATACTGCAGTTTTCAGATTGCTCACCACAGAGATCACATTTTTGATAACGTGATGGATTATTAAAAATTACTTCATTGGAGAAGAGAAGGCTGAGAGGAGACCTCATTGCAATCTCCCAGTATTTAACAGGGGGTTATAAAAAGAAGAGGAATCAACTTTTTACACAGTTAGAAGGTAATAGGACAAGGGGCAATGGGTTTAAGCTTAAGGAGGGAAGGTTTAGACTAGATATCATGGAGAGGTTCTGCCCAGAGAAAGAGTGGTGAGGTGCTGGAACAGGCTGCCCAGAGAGGCTGTGGATGCCCTGTCACTGGAGGTGTTCAAGACCGGGTTGGATGGGGCCCTGGGCAGCCTGGTGTAGTACCAGATCTGGAGGTTGGTGGATCTGCCTGTGGCAGTGGATTGGAACTTGATGGTCCTTGGGGTCACTTCCAACCCAAGTCATTCTATGATTCTATGATTGCTAATACTGAGAAAATCTGTCATCCTTTGTGTGAGACATTATTTTATTTTTCAGCTTTAGATCTTGGGAAAGAAACCAGAAAGCTTGGAAATAAAATCTATTTTGTAATGTTTTGATTTTCTGTTTGAGAGAAACAACTTTCAATTTTTTCTCTTCCCCTTTAAGGAATCCATTACAGCATGGTGTTTTAAGCTTGTATTTTCTCTGTTGCTGATGGTGAAGTTGGGATTAGTTTTAGATTGATGCTGCCACAGAGCCAGTAGAGGGAGCACAAACATTGCTTCCAGTGTTGGTGATGCTGTAGGGGCAACCTGGATTATTTCTCTGGGGAAAGCCGGATCTGTTTTTAGAAGAGATTTTTTTTAGAAAACTTTCAAAGTCTTTGTTTTACAAGATTCAGTGAAGATTAAATTAAGGAGTAGCTATTTTCAGCAATTATTATCAAACATAAAATCTATTCATAGTTTTGTAAATAGCTAGTGAATAAATGGATTCCCAATCATTGCACATTTTAGAGAGTTTTTTTGTTTTTAATTTTGTTCTGCAGCCACTGATAAAGGGGAAGGTTTTGTTTCTGTTTTTTACGAATACACTGAGTGAAAATAAAAATGCGTAATCTGTGTGGCAGCTTTATGCAACTGAAGAAAGGGATTTAAATTGCTTTTATGCCTTCGTTTTTGCTTAAAATGGCTTTTATATACTAAGGTATGTTATATATCGTTTTCAACTGCTACTACGTACTATATATATATATATATATATTTGTTGTTGTTGTTTGTTTGCAAGCTGTTTTATTTTGAGTGTGAATAACATCTGTCCTTGCTTGAGAAAACATCTGAGCTCTTCATCTCAAGAGGTTCCTTCCAGCTGCAAAGGTAGTGGCATTCTGTCATTTTCTAATACTTGTTTAAGAAAATGTTTTTAAAAAATCCTTCCAAACACAGGTTCAGATGTGAACCATTTAAACATTATGATACAGTATGTAGAAACAGAAAAATATCTTCAGATTACCTGTTGACCTTCTCCATTAAAATACTTTCTGCAAACTCTGAATTGTACGCTTTCTGACCTGTTGTTCTTTTATGGTACTGAATAATAATACTTTTTCTGTAGGTAGCTCCATTTGCTTTAATGCAGACTTTCAAGAAGAGTAGTATTTTTCACTGCAAAGAAGCATGCCAAGACATTTCTCTAAGAGCCAACATTACTTAATGCTTCCAGTCTTCTGTGTACTGGCCATATACTGCAGGATAAGACAGCATGAGAGAGGAACTGGAGATTGTCATTCCAAGAGTGGACACTGCAAGGTATGTGTGGCATTATGATCTTTTTGTCCTCATGGTCTTTTGAACGTGTTGCTTCAAATCTCTTTCTGAAGTCAGTGTTTTTTTGCAGAGCTGCATGTGGGTGGTCAGATCATTAATGAGGTTTATTTTTTATTTGAAGTTAATTTTTATATATCATATTGAGTAGTTATGAATGCCAGCTCTGAAAGGAATTAACTCGGGAATACATAAATAGAGTAATTTTAGTTGGCATCAAAATAAAGGGAGGAGAATATTACTTATATTGTATTCTGTAGATGATGTTGAATGGATTCATCTCCTTGAGTAAAACTGAATTTATTCAAAAGCTGATACTGTGAGAACACAGAACTTTCTCAAAGGTTTAGCTAGAACTGTTAAATTACTTCCTATAAAAGCCAATAACTATGACAGTATTTCCTACTTACATTATGCATAAAGGTGCAAAATTCTGCCATTTGAAAAGAAAAAAAAAATACAGCACATTTGATAATAACAGCTCTACAACTTTTTTTTTCCCCCTTCAAACTGGAGAGGGAATAAAGAGTCTCACACAGATGGTGATAACCACAGTTTTACATAGTTCCTTAAACACTCTGGTCTAGTCTGATCTGTAGTGATTTTTTCATGGAATCATAGAATGGCCTGAGTTGAAAAGGATCACAGTGATCATCTAGTTTTGACCCCCCTGCTATGTGCAGGGTCGCCAACCACTAAACCAGGCTGCCCAGAGCCACATCCAGCCTGGCCTCGAATGCCTCCAGGGATGGGGCATCCACAGCCTCCTTGGGCAACCTGTTCCAGTGCGTCACCACCCTCTGTGTGAAAAACTTCCTTCTAATATCTGATCTGTATCTCCCCTATTTTAGTTTAAAACCATTTCCCCTTGTCCTATCACTATCAACCCATGTTGCATCTAGCTTGTGCTTATTTGGACAAAATACTTCTTCCTTTCCTTTCATTTCCCCTATTGTAGCAATGTCCTGTTGTGCTTTTCGGTCATGTGGTGTAACAGGAAAAAGAAACCAACAACCCTTTCCAAAACCCCTACTGTTCTCTCACTACTAGAGGGCTCTCCCAAAATACTCAGGGGAGATAGCTCCAGTGACAGACTCTTCTAGTAGCGTGATTGCCATGGCAATGGCTAGCCTGCAATCAAATCAAACCAAATCTCTGCCAGGTTTTGCAAAAATAAATGCATGTTGTTTATTCGCTTAATGTTTTAATATGGATATGCACTTGCTGGGATTTTAACTCCACAAAACATGCACAGTGTGAGATGTGAAACTGGCGGAATTTTTGATATTTAGATATTGGAATGAAAGAATAAATGCAATTTTTAAACAAGTATTTGACATCTTCGTTATCACCCATAGCAAGGTGTCCGTAATGTTGTTTGCTCAGGAAAACCTTACTGGGTTACGAATCTGAAACTAAACACTTGTACCAGCACTCAGTAAATATGTTGCTCGACTAAATATAGAACTACTGTCATCAGCAAAGGGTATCTGTGAGGGAGTGATATTTCCTATAAATATACTAAGATACATGTGCATTAGTTTAATCTAACGAGGGAGATGTAAACAAACTTGACAACAGAACTCTGAATGGACAAAGTAGGATGCATAGAAAATGATCAAGGGAAACTACTCTGCTAGATGAAATCCTTGATTTTATACCATTTCAGAAAAATAAAACATTTCTTATTTGTTGAGCAGCTATTGAATTGAGAATTTATATAATACTAGAAGAATTTATTGGGGATAATTTTATGAAATATTTCATCCAAACCAGGATTTCTTCTATATTTATTGTATATTTTTAAATATCAACCTGGCCTTAAGTTCCTAAATTTTAATTTTCTTTTTGAGATGTCTGAAAAGGGGCAAATTTTCAAAGCATGATTATTTAGTAGTTTGTGATTATAGCTTTTTCTCAAAAATAAACACATTTGCAACTCAGGTGAGCTTCCCAAAACTTGTTCTTAATAACTAGTGGCACTTTACGTTTAGGCCGTGAGGTTAAAGGCATGAGAACAGTTTTATAAAGAATAACTTGTTTGCCTGCTGTATCCTTTATGTTTTCAGATTTATCAGTAATCATAAAACGATTGCACTGAAAAAACACTGAAAACTTAAAATAAAATAAAAAAATAAGTCTGTTGATTGTTGACCATCTTTGGGCCAGGACTGTGCAGCTCTACTGTCCTGTGTTTGGCCAGAAGAAAGAGTTCAGAGAAACTGGTCAGATACTTGGGCCAGAGTGTCTGTGACATAAGAAAAATATCAAGAATAAACAGATCACCCTCTCCAAATGATTTTTTTTTTTGATAGTAGCAATCTAAGAAACATCCAACATATGAAAAAAAGATCTTACTTTGAATTATTGGAAAAGATGTTGCCCATTTTAAAAAACACAGACGTGTTAAAATGTTAAAATGTTGATACGGATAATAGTGTGGCTAAAAATACTGATACTGATGTGGTTAACATCCACATATCACAATAGAATTCCTGTAGATATAATTTCCATGGATTTATTTTTCGTAAAGGCATAGATATAAGACACAGAGACAGAGGTCTTTAAACTGCAGAGTTTGTCTTCTATTTATTCTAATCTCTTTCATGTAAAAAACAGTGTTCATCACTATTCCGAGTGATGGGGGGCTGTTGGAAAACCCCTGGATAGGTGTGGTGTTCACTCCTGAGGAAACATGAGAAACACCTAGATGAGCCGACTGAAAAGTTCTCCACTGTTCAGTGCAAGGGAAATACCAGAGATCTTTGAAGTCCAGCCACATTGAAGTGGGTTAAGTTAGTTCAAGTGCATCCTTATTAAAATCAGCTTGTATTTAAAGTTAGTAAGGCAGTCTTAGATAAGGGCACAAAATACCTTTGGAAGAGATCATTTCTTTAGCTGAAGTTAAAGCTACCTAAATTGCAATTTAGAGAGTAGAGAGTTCCTGCTCCCAGCTAACCATTTTAATAAATGAAGATAAAGTAGTGGCATTTTAGGATTTAACACACTGCAAAAACCTGCAGATATTTTGTATTGATATTCTCAAAGGTATAGCTTAAGCTTATGCTGGGCTATATATAGCCCAATATCTATACAGCCAAAATAATCCAGTATATATTGGATTATGTTTGTTCTGATGGATAATGACTAGGAAGAGGAGATAGAGGACTTTCATACAGCTAGCCTATAAAAAGACATTGGCCAGATTTACTCTCTGCACTTGGCCTTTTTTTCACTGTAATTTTGGTATTTTCCAGCTGTTAGAGGTCATACTTCTTTTACTTACTGATCCTCCATTGTGTGTTTGGTTCTGTTCTTTGCTCCATGAAGGCAAAGATAGCTGTTGGACGTGGTGGTGGGGCTGCTGCAGCAAGTCATGGCATCTGAACAAGGCAAAGACCAGCCAACTGTCCAGGTCTCTGGGCACGTCTGCAGAGGTGAGGTGGGTCTTAGGCCAAGCAGGAAGCAAGATCAGTGGATAGGGATCATGCCTGATAGCAGCTAAGGTCAGCCACCATCTGCTGATCACCAGGCGAGTCCAGAGTGATGAGGCCAGTTCAAGGTCAGAGCCCTGATAGAATAGATAAGTAGATCAGAATAATATTCCTGCAGCCATTGAAATAATGGTAGTCTGCAGTTTCCTTGTTGTTAGATAACACTTTGTCAGGTACTGGAACAGTGTTGTTGCCAGCAACATACCTAAATGCTGCAGTGCTGTTTTTCTTCTCAATAGTTTCTGCTTTTAAAATATGTGCTGTGAATTCCAGCTGACACTGAGTACTTTGTCAGTGTAAATGCCAATGCATGCTGAAAAGTTGCAATGGAAAAGTTTACAAGACAAACAAAAAATAGTAGTAGTATTAGCCTCATTTTCAAGTGGGGAACAGAGCTTGCTGTGAATGGTACAAGGTGTTTTAGCAGAAACAGGACTTAAACTCAGTTTAACAATCTGTGTGCCGGACTAGCCTTCTGTCCATCACTTGGCTTATGGTTCCCTGGTAATGACCAACAAGTGGGTATTCTCAGCTGGAAGCTGCCATGACCCTGATCTGTTGTCAGTATTGGAGGACTCCTGTGCTTTGCACAAATCATAGGAAACATTTTAGCTACTTGAGCTGTGTGTGAATGGAACAGTAATGTTTATATTATCAGACCTGGTGATATTTTCATGTTCCTCAGGCCAGATGCACAGCCAGCTATGAGACACAGGCATGTAGTGGCATCCCTATATACTTGTATAGCTTTGTTTTTGGGGAAAAGAAAGAGTTATTGAGTCTATAGAGAAAGCAGAAAGCTGTAGTGGACTGCATGTCTGTTATATTGGGAGTTCATGACCCCACAGCATGACCCCAGTAGGTCAATCTAGACATAAAGAAAAAGTCTTACATGGTTGCCTATGTCCTATTTTGAACAGAAATGCTTGATGAATTAAAGCTTTTCCTCAACTGTCAAGTCCCTTGTTTTTCCCAATACCATTTAGCCCCTTGCTGCATGCAATGATCGCTGTGCAAAATGGAGCATCTACTCTATTTCTACTCGGTCTTTTTGCACAGATTTCTATGAGGAAGTGTAATGATATTTTTCCAGTGATTTGATTGTGGGCAAAACTAAAGCTATCACTATAACATGCAAGAGGAATACTGTCAGTTGAAGCTTTAACATCAGTAGCCTCATTGCTTTGTGATCTCATTTTATTTTAAGTATACACAGAGGACTTTCAATTAAATGCAAATTAACTAGCTGATTTGTTTAATAACTGTGTGTAGCAGAGCCCTCCAAATGGTAAAAAAATATGCATACTTTCATCTTAACATTATGTGCTAAAAACTGAAAAGTGTTGCTGGCATATTATCCGTGATGCAAAATATTTATGAGTCTGTGTGTTCTGTGTATTAGTGCTGTCTGCAGATGCTAAAAACTAAGCTAATTTTGGAATGGTTTATAACCTATTAAAGTTATAATAGACTAACCCTGCATCTCGAATTAGCCTGTGGAGGTTGGTATGCACATGTGCTATAAATTAGACATCATGTTTTATAAATTTTTAAGGATTCTATAAAACTATAACATAAAGTGGAAGAAGTGCTATAAGTGATAGTAGTTTATTAAATGCATGCACATTATATGTAGCTGATTGCTGTTATAGTTTTAAGATGTCTAGAGATCCCAAATGGCTATGGGCTTCAAACAAATACATTGTATGTGACAGTTCAGGTTATTAAGGCTGTGAAGTGCAAACAGAGAAAAAGTTTTTAAAAAAAGAAAGACAGTAAAAATAGAGATTTGCATGAAGGCATAGATCAGTTTATTCAAATGTTAGAAATATTCTGAAGATTTATAAGAGCATCAAGACTTTCCTGGTCATAATGTAATAGAAAAATGAAGTGGACATGTATTTAGTGCATCCTTCATCCTAGATTTTGCTACTGCTGTTGTGGTATAACCCAGCAGCAACTCAGCACCACGCAGCTGTTTGCTCACTTGCCCCCAGGTGGGAGGAGTGACTGAAATGGAAACAAAATGGAAGGGGTAGGTTGAGATAAAAACTATTTATTAAGACAGAGAAGGAAACAAAAATGCAATTATAACTATATATATATCTCCACTGTTCAATTGCTTGCCACCTGCTGACCAACACCCAGCTAACAATACTACTGCCTACTAAAGAACACCCAGCTAGCAATGCAACATCTCACCTCTTGCCAACCAATGCCCAGTCTACCCCAAGCAACATCTTCTCCTTCCCCTAAGCCTTCCCTTTTCCCTTTCTCTCCCCACACCCCCCTCCCACTACCCACAAACTTTATGTCCTCCCACTTGATGTCACATGGTATGGAATAATCCCTTGCCTAATTCAGGCACTAGTCCTGGCTACACCCCACCTCCTACCACTGTGCCATGATGGTCGTTTGATGCTTTCTCCCATAATATTCTTGTATCCATGTTAGGAAATCATGATCTGGATGGCTGAGCAGCCAGAGGAGTGAAGAACTGGTTGGATGACTAGTTGGAGAGTGTAGTCCTCTGTGGAAGCTGGCAACTGTCAGGATCTGTGCTGGGACCTGTCCCGCTTTACAACTTTACCAGTGACCTGGAGGGATTATGCACTCACATACATTTGGCATATGCTACCAAACTGGAGGTGAACAGCAGATAAGCTGGAAGGCAATGCTCCACCCACCAGATACCTAGACAGGTTGAGAAAATGTGCTTACAGGAACTTCATTAAACTCAGCAAGAACAAATGCAAGTTCCTGACCCTAAGAAGGAAGACTCCCTGGCAGTGATAGAGACTGGGAAGCAGCAATTCCAGGGAGAAGGCTCTGCGAGACAGCAATATGAATGCTTGTAGCAGGGAAGCCAGCAAATCCAGAGCAGTGTTAACAGGAACTCAGTTGGTCAAGGGAAGTGACTATCCCGTGCTTTACTTAGCGCTTGTTAGATCACGTCTGAACACTGTGTGCAGTTCTGGGCTCCCCAGTACAGGAAACACATTGTTAATCTGGGATGAAATCAGTGGAAGGCCACCAAGATGTCTAAGGATGAAGCCCTTTCCAAATGAAGAAAGGCTGAGGGAGAAAGGTTTCTTCAGCCTTGAGAACGGACAACTTCCAGGGCACCAACAGCAGACCTCAGTGCCTATGGGGAGATAAACAAGGAGATACAGCCAGGCCCTTTACAGCAGTGCATGGGGATTGCTGAGACAGTGGCACAAACTGGAACAGACCAGATGAGACTGTACATAAGGAAGAATTTTTCCCTATGAGGACTCTCAGGCGGTAGAACGGGTTGCCAAGAGAGATTGCATTCTTTCCATTCTTGATGGTCTTCATCAAAGGAGTTGGACTAGATGACTTTTAAGGGTCCCTTCCAACTCAAATGATTCTATGATTCATGACCTGACTGGACAAAGCCCTGATGAACCAGTTCTGTCCTCAGTGAGCAAGACACTGGAATGGAGATTTACTGAGGTCCCTCCTAGCCTGAAATGTCCTATGTGTTAATGACCTATATTTTATGATCTTAGTCACCTTTATGATTAACAACATGTCTAGAATGTGGTTAATTTGACCTAATTATAAGAGGAATGTTGTTGTACAATTGCCTGTTTCTTCACTATGAAGATAGTACAGACAGCTCAGATCTAATTATCAATATATGAAATATCTAAAATTAGGTCAGATTTTCATCAAAATATGAGGAAGCACTTTACTGTGTAAGTGTTGGAATACTGGCACGGGTTGCCCAGGGAGTTTCTGGTGTCTTCTCCTTACAGACCTTTAGAAGCTGCCTGCATATAGAATCATAGAATGATAGAATCATATGATCCTGAGCAACCTGCCCTAGTTGTCCCTATTGAACAGGGGTTGGGCCGGATGGACCCAGAGGTCCCTGCCAGCCTCAGCCATTCTTTGACTCTAATTTTGTGGATCCTACCCTGAGTGTCTGTTCCCAGCTCTCTGAAGGCCTTGGCTAGATATGAAAGAAAGAAAGAAGATATTTCTGTGTAGTGCCATGGCAGCTATAACACTTGCCCAAAACGAAAGTTATCTTAAATCTAGACTCCTCCGATTTTTATTTTTTAATCTGAAACCGTGTTGATACAAAACTAATATATATCCATAGTATGGATTTTGCCTGGTTCACTCAGAACACTAAGAAGGTCAAGTTATTGCCTTCCTTACTTCAATCTTTACTGCTAAGACTTCCCCTTGGGAATCCCAGACCCTGAAGGCAAGAGAGAGAGTCTGTGGAAAGGAAGGCCTCCCCTTGGTCGAGGAGGATCTGGTGAGAGATTGTCCTGACGTAAGGAACAAGGTGTAGCAGAGTTGGACTAGATGATTTCCAGATGTCCCTTCCAACCTCTTTAATTCTATGATTCCTTTCTCTGGCCTTCTGTTCCTTGCTGGGCTGTGTACCGTGCACTGTGCACCATGCTTTGGGCTCTGTCGTGCCATGATGGAAGCGTGACTTCTTTCTGAGCAAACTTCAAGTCCATTTTTCCCTTTTCCTCAGGAAATGGAGAGTCTAGCTGCTAATAATTCTATGACTCACTTGTCTGAGCATCAGAAAAAAATGGGAAAGAAAACTTCTTCATAGACTTCTGCTGGGACTTGCTTTCTTCACATAGCCTTCACATAATTGGTAAATAGACTACAGAATTACCATTTATGTTATCACATTATCTTGCACCTTTTGCCAGTGTAACTCTGACATAATCAGTTTATATACGTACAAATGCATTTTATAGCTGTATCTATAGCCATAAAAACATCATAATGTTCATTTATGTTACTAATAACAAGTTGGAAATAAACAGTTAAATTAAGTGCATCAATAAATGATAACAGATATAATACTGTTGATTTTTCCCTTGATTACTCCATTCAGGTTATATAGTGGAAAAAGTTTGGTAGTTTTCAATCCATTTCAATTTACAGAGCTCCTATGCAGGAAATAAGGAACCCGAAGTTAACCTTGCTGTTCTTGGCTATTTTTATTACAAATAAATCCCATGGTGTGTCTATAACACTTTAATATGTAGCCTTTTCAAAATTATGCCTTTAGCTTAGTTATTGCCATGATTTTTCCTGCCAAATTTATGTTCTATGATTTATGACCTTTTTTTTCTAATATATTCCTTGTACTAAGACAGGTTAGTGTATGTTGTTTGTTTTCTATCACTTAGCTTGCTGGTACCGTTCTCCTTTGCAATTCAAACAGTAAGCATCTTTCTTCATACTAATTGAAAGCAAGAATGTGTATTTGACAATGTAGCTGTTACTGACACAGTTCTTTCTACTGCATGGTGTACTTTGTCTTCAAGCGTTAGTGCCCCAAGGCACACCTATGCTTGAGCCTTGAGAATGCAGTTTTGGGTTTTCTTGAAGATTTTTTGCATTTTGAATTCACAGAATGGTGCAAAGTTAAGATTTCTGAGCACAGAAATGAGGAGTGATTACCACTGGTTATGTTCAGCATCTCAACTATATATATCATGTGTACATAAACCACAAATCTTTAACTACTGAGTAGGTAGAATAATGTCTTACCTATCCATTGTAAATAATGCTGTTTTCCATTTTTTAACTTTGTGCACACGTATTCCTTCAAAAGTGATATTGTCCTAATTTTGGTCTTCAGTCTTGAAAACATTTAGATATGTGCTTTAGTTTCAGACACCTGAATAGATCTGGCATAAGTAGTATTCCCATATAAAAACAACACTTGGAAAAATCTGTGCAGGATAAGTCTTGTTGATGAATAATTGAAGAGTATTGAAACTATATTTTACAAATTTCCATCCTGCTTGCTTTATTCAGTACCTATGAACTATTATTTATCAGAATATATTTTTACATATTACACCATAGATTTGAGAAAAAGCAAATACTTTTCAAAATTATATTTCTTATTACTTTAATTACTTAGCAATATTAATGCTTTCATTGTTGCATTGGAGCATATGCCACACTCCAGGCATTTGGCTAAAAAAACCTGCAGGTTGTCACATGTACTTTGTAGGAACTGTATTTATCACTCAGCAAAATTACTATTATGTCTCTTTTTCTGCCCAGAATATTACTTTCAGATATTAAATGGTCTGTGAATGGCCTAGGACAGACCTCACTAGCCTCTGTTTACTTTTTTTCATGCTGGCATTGTTTTAGTAATTCATTTAGGATTCAAAGACTTCCTCCTATAAGTTTTCCTTACAACTATAATAGGTTACATAACTGAAGGCATTTCAGGTAGCCATTCATACAAAAAACTGTCAAGATTTACAGCAGATACAACATGCTCAGCCTTTTGTTATACTTATTTGTAGTTTTTACTTAACTCAATGCAATGTTTAATGTGAGCTGTCTCTTAAAATGGAACTCTTCAGCTTCTCTTTCTACTATATTATATCAGTTAGTACTTGTGACTCTATATGGAATAATCACCTACTTGAAAGGCAAAAATGAAAGTAAGTAGTATTAAAATATGCTCTCATCCAAGCCTTGTGTATTTTTGTTGAAAAGATTGGTAAAACTGATATTCCTGTCCTTAGTTATTAGAGCAGATATTGCTCAAATATGGAAGCAATTATTCCCATCCAGTTGGTTATCCATTCTCTGCCACATGTATGCTACAGTAACATAGAAAGTGACTGTTGATCAGAAAGCTATCATGGTGGTGACGCACTGGAACAGGCTGCCCAAGGAGTTTGTGGATGCTCCATCCCTGGAGGCATTCAAGGCCAGGCTGGATGTGGCTCTGGGCAGCCTGGTCTAGAGGGTGGCAACCCTGCACATAGCAAGGAGGTTGAAACTCGATGGTCATTGTGGTCCTTTTCAACCCAGGCCATTCTATGATTCTATGATTTGAGAGATAAAGGATGCTGAGAAAATGGATTTCATCACTTATTTTAAAAAAATTATCCAGAAATTAAAGTAGAGCTCCTATCCAGATTTTTATATGGTTATTTGCACTATTACTGCTGCTGTTGCTACTAGATTCTTGCTTATTTTTTAGAAAAATAATACTTCCACAATGACTGTGCTTCTTACTTACCATTTCCATTGTTGTTCTCTAATAACATATGAATCTCTTTTTTAAAAATTAATTGTCAGTATTTATGAACATGTAACCTTTCTATTATGTCTTTCAACTTTGCCAGGTGTGACTCATTTGGTCATTGTATTACTAATGTCACACATGCATTTTAAATATTTTAAAGTTTCAAATGGAATATGGAGTCTCAAAATTAATGTGTAGTCTTTTGCACAGTCTAAATATGAAGACTTCTTGGTAAGCAAGAATAAAGATTTTGGTAGTTCTTACATGCATGAAATATTTTCATTAGTCTAATTGACCATGTCTGTAGGGAAGTTTTGAATATAAACATTAAACATTTATTTGCTTTGGGAAAAATAATCTCTGTATCAGTTATGCTTAGTTCATGGGCATAATAAAAAGATGGATTTAACTCTGTCATCTCAGAGGAAAGAAGAAAAGATTCAAACCCCATCTAAATAGTAGAGAAATATTTCCCAGATCCTTTTTCTGTGTTTACATAACTGATATATCTAAAGTATTGGAGCAACTCAGCTGGAGATGTAAGCATAATAGGCAGCCACTGTAATAATTGTACCAAATGCTTAAAAGCTTCTCCTTAAGTACTGTTAAGATTTAATTTTTTTCCCTATTGACAGAAGGATCCTAAGGCTTGCTATACTCATAATAGTGTTCAGAGTATTTTTAGTTACGGAGGAAAATGATGCTTTCATCCTTGTTTTTATTACCATTTGGCTGTTCTCGTTTGCAATATTTTAGAACTCAGATATATAGTTTCAAGATCTCCTGTGTGGATAACACCATCCTTAAATTGATAACAGAAGAAGCAGCTTGAAAGAAACACATTTTTTGACCAAAAAAAAAAAAAAATCAGGAAAAATAGAAGCTCCTTTTATGAATTTTGTGGTCTTCATTCAAATGGATGATAAGAAAACCTTCAAAATTACATTTTGAATTAAAATGACTGAACTCAGTTTGAGGCAACTTTTGAATTATAATTGTCAGCTGGAGGAGAATTAGGCATGTTCTAATAGCATTTCTTCGAAATACTGTCCCATGTAAGAATGAAATGCAGGAGACGTGTCTCTCATTCTCAGACTTGAAATATTAGAAAGAAGCAATTTCAAAAAATGTGAGGTCTGAAAGAATATTCTTTTCTTGAACCATTTGATCAGACTGATCCACCTCTTTAATGCCCATTCAATCTAGGAATTTTCCTGCCCCTATGTTTCCTTTCATATGATCCTGGTCATCAGTATGTCTCATGCCACTCTGTCATGCTAGTCTTTGCCTGTAGATTGTAGGGGAAATACTGATACATCTTCTCTTACAAGCAAAATAGCAATTCACAAAAATAACTGTGTAGCAGTACTTTCAGAAGTTCAAAACATTTTGTCTTTCAAACTAAACATCTATGCTATCCTCATATGTTTTCTAAAAAGCTTAAATGCTCATGAAGGGATGTGAATACTTGGTTGAGTATTTCTTTTTTTTTTTTTTTTTTTTCCAGTTTTACCACAGGCATATTTAATTTTTAACCTATAGACCAGTAATGTGATCTATTTTTCATTTCCTTTATTGATTTACTTCACTGTGAAATGTTCAAAGTTTCAACTGCCATGTGACAGAGATCAGAAAAAAATCATGGAATCGTGGAAAATGAGGTGGGAATGACTACCAGAAACTATGCTGGTGTTTTTTCACCATCATTATTTCCACGAAATATTCCAGTGGTAACAGTGTACTACTCAGAATGAGTTATTCTTTACTACAAGAAAGTGTGTCATAGTATGTCTGCCCAAACCAGGCGAGGAATAGGATTGAATTTCTTAAGTATTGCTCCAGTCCAATTCTAGCTTTCTGAAGTTAATGTGTAACCACTTATCTAAGACAGGAAGGTGGTGAAAAGCTGGAAAGAACTTCCTAGCTTAGTGGGAAAGATGTGAAGGCAATTGGAAGGTCATTTCTCCCTGATATCAATAAAGAAACAAAGTGCTTTTTGCAAAGGAGTAAATCCCCCCCCTTCCTTCCACTTGTCCCCCCTTCCCCCCCCCCCCAAAAAAAAAAACAACCAGCACCAAAACAACCAACCAAAATACAAATAAACAAAGAAAAAACAATCAAGAGGCCTTGTTCTTAGAAATCCTGAGCTAGCTATTGCTGTACTAGCAATTTTAAGAGACTAGAGAGTATCTCATGCACAGTAACTCAGTGGTTTATATCATTAAACTGCAAGTACGATCCCTGGAGTTTGCTATAATGTCTGACTGTTCCTAGGCACATGGTTTGGAAAATAACATGGTGAGAAAACATTCCCAGTAGGCATTTTAGGTCAGAACGCCCTATTCCAGAGAGTCTAGTGGTGTAAGTATGGGGGTGGGGAGCTGTTCCACGCCAATTGCCTTCGTTGCCAGAGAACAGTCCTTGGTACTTTTGATTACTTAACATAGACCAGCCAGCTGATGTGAAAATTTCTGGATGCTTGACAATTCCGTAAGTATGTGTACTTAAGTTGAATGTATAGATTCAAGGCCTAATTATAGACTTCTTTTTAAAAAGATGTTGTCCTGAATAACTGAACAAGAACAGGGCAAAGTGTTCTTCCTTACTGCTGAAGGAAAACTGATGGCTAGGACACATGCCAGCTCCCAGCTGGATCACCCTGAGCCCTGTGTAGGCTTTCACTCCTCCACTGGCTGCTCAGTAAGTGCCCTAAAATGCTCCTTCCTTTGCCTATTTTATCCATTGCATGGAGTACTGCGTCCAGGCCTGGTGCCCCCCGTACGGGAAGGATGTG